CTCTATCCAGGGGGACAGCTTGAGGCTCTGTCTCAAAAAAAAAAAAAAAAGATGGTCCCTCAATAGGGAATTCCAAATAAATCCCTCTTAAGATGCTTTTCAGTATAGCCCACAGCTAAAGACATTCAGGTCAGCCCAAATTTCTAACTTTATTTTACCGTTGTTGTTTCTCCCGCCGAGCAATTTCTTTGAGCTTGAAGGCTGCTTCACAACGCCGCCTTCTCCGGTCCCCACGTTCTGCAGCCTCTATCTTCATCTGTTCTCTCTTGTAGCTACGTTGATAGGCAGTTACTAGGCGCCGAAGCCTAGCTGTGAGGGCAGAGCCAGGAGGCCAGAATAGATGGCCTGGCTGTTGGGTCACCTGGGCTGTGGGAAACAAAGTAGAATAAATAGGCAGTACAAAAAGGGTAGTAGAGATTAATAATGGTATTTCAACCCACCCAAAGGCAAAGCTCTTAGCAATCCCAGGATAGAATAGAATTCAGTGAATAATTCCCCAATCCCACCAGCCCACACAATATTGTTCTAGTTGACCTAGAAGTTTACCTTCATCTCCATCAATCACTGAGATCTCCTCATCCATCATCATCAAGGGATCACCCTAGAGAAGGAGATCCACCCCACAGGATGGAGGGAGGAGGGAAAGGGGAGGAAGTTGGCACTCTGAAATCACTTTCTTGGGTGTATCCTTCTATGGCACCAAGGTATCAAAAAAAAATTTCTAATGACAGGACCCCTCACAGAAATTTGGAAGCAATCAACTAAAAGAAGAACTAGAAAGTAGAATCTAAAAGGTCAGTTCTTAATGGCTCAAAGATAATGGGACTCAGGAATTTATTAGTCAAATAATATCCTTCAATGTCCAGCTTGGATCCCACCTCCTCCACAAAGTCCCTGATCTCCCCCTAGCCAGTCTTATAATCTTTTCCATTAACATTTATTTTCATATGGTATTTACTTTCCATTTTGTATTATAAATTAATCAATATACTTCAAGATTCAGAGAAGGTGAGAAGCTTAACTAGTAATTAAGACTCAAATAAAAATTCCTTACCTCATCATCTTGGTCCTTTGGAGGACCTTGGAGTGGTTTATATTCAGGATCTTCACAATCTTTATCAAAGTCAACCCTAAAATTATCCAGAGGCACAAGAAAATGTTAATAATATATCTTCTATCACAAAGAGGAACCTAGGATGAAGACCTGGCCATACATACAACCCAGAATGGAATAGACTTAAATTTCAAGCTCACAGGAATGGCAGGTCAGGTGCTAAGGTTTAGGTCAGCTCATACAACAGAAAAAAAGATTATGAGAAATTATGACAATATATCATTCATAATTGCTTGAATTTGAAATAAAATACGTCGATTAGCATTGTTTTCCTCCTGATAGCCCTTTTTATTGTTTAGTCCACTCTCTCTTTCTTCCCCATTGATCTACTTTGTATTATTTCATTCAAGCCTTTTTGTTTTTATTACTTTTCTCTACTGAGCAGAAGGTGACATAATAATTTATAATGAATAAATGCCTCAATTTCCTTTGAGGATCCTATGTTAAACAAACTGAAATCGTGTTTATCAAAGAGAAAGCTCTCAGTCATGAAGGAATAGGTAGGCAATTCATTAATTAAACTAACTATTTCACATGCCCCTCAGGTCTCCATGTGAGAAGTTTTTTTAAACTCACTGGCACCCAAACTAGGGCAATACTGCCCTACCTGGTGTCTCAGTATTAGCATGGCAACTCATCACTGGGACATGTACCTAGGCAAAGTAAATAACCTTTATGTGTCAGGTACCACTGGGAAATGATAAACTAGGCTAAAAGTACCTGAGGCTCTACCACATTAGCAACAGTGAGAGATGCCTGGCTGTTATCTTTCAAGAGAACCAGTTATTTTGTCAGTTACAGTAGCTATACAGAAGAATATTATAAAGCAAATTGCAGAGAACATCAATAAACCATGTGAAAGAAATGTTAATTTACTCTCAGTTGCATCTTATGGCAATGTGTAGTATAGGCCAGTTTTAGGAATCCTTTACCCTGGTACTACTCTTCATTAAGAATTTATAATTTATGAATACAACCACCACTAAGAACACCAGTCAAGTTTAGTCAAGGCTAGAGCCATGTTATCTCATAGTACAAGCAACTAATAGCCTTCATAAGGTGGAGCTTTACAAGAACTAAACACTAATATTTACCCTTCCACTATGTCAGAGAAATTATCCAACACTCGATGTTCTGCTGCGATGGCTTTGTCATCTGGTCTACCAGCCTTTTCCAGGAAGCATAAGGCTGGGTCTGCTCTCATAGTATTATATTTCTCATAACCTAGAAAAAAAGGCCCATAGTTGAAGACAATCAGAGGTTCATTGTCACTTTACATTTACTTTATATGCTGCTTGAATAATTAGAATATATAGGCTACTTTACCAATAAAGGGAAAGTAGCTGTTGCTTTACATTACTGTATTTAACTTTTTATTTGTTTGTTTGTTTGGAGACAGTCTCATACTGTCACCCTAGTGCTAGTGTTCTATTTTACAAAGAGACAGGGTCTCACTCTTGCTCAGGTTGATCTCAAACTCCTGAGCTCAAGCAATCTACTTGCCTTAGCCTCCCAGAATGCTAGGATTATAGGTGTGAGCCACTGTACCTGGTTATTTAATACTTTTTAATTTATTTTTTTTATAGATAGGGTCTCATTCTGTTGCCTAGGCTGGAATACATCAGGCCAGTGGCATGATCATGGGTCACTGCAATCTCAAGAAATTGGGTTCAAGTGATCTTCCCATCTCAGTTTCCCAAGTAGTTAAGATGACAGGCACAGGACACCATGCCTGTGTAGTTTTTCTTATTTTATTTTGTAGAGATAGGAGTTTTGCTATATTGCCCAGGATGGTCTCAAATTCATGGCTTAAGTGACCCTCCTGCTTTGGCCTCCAAAAGTGCTAGCATCACAGGCATGAATCATTGCACCTGGCTATTTTTTATAGCAAATTTGAGTCATGAAGAATTTTAACTAGTGACTGACATTAGGAATTTAGTCAAAGAATCTATATACCATGGTGATGGATTTATACAGCGATTTAACTGGTTATTTATCTGAATGAATGAATAAATATACTCTGGAGATGTTTGGACTCTTAGAAACCTTTGTGTCTCACAAGCAAATCTAGAATAAAAATGTTTACTGAGATGGGTGGATTGCCTAACCTTACAAGTTTGAGAACAGCCTGAGTCAGAGCCAGACTTCGTATCTAAAAATAGCCAGGCGTTGTGGGGGATGCCTGTAGTTCCAGCAACTTGGGAGTCTGAGACAAGAGAATAACTAAAGCCCAGGAGTGTGAGGTTGCTGTGAGTTGTGATGTCACAGTACTCTACCGAGGGCAAAGTAAAATTCTGTCTCAAAAAAAAAATAGTAGTTCAGGCTCGGCACCTGTGGCTCAAGTGGCTAAGGCGCCAGCCACATACAACTGAGTTGGTGGGTTCGAATCCAGCCCAGGCCCGCCAAACAACAACGGCTGCAACCAAAAAGTATCTGGGTGTTGTGGCAGGTGTCTGTAGTCCTAGCTATTTGGGAGGCAGAGGCAGAAGAATTGCTTGAGCCCAGGAGTTGGAGGTTGCTGTGAGCTGTGATGCCACAGTACTCTACACAGGGCAATAGCTTAAGGCTCTGTCTCAAAAAAAAAAAAAAATTCATAGTTTTCTTTAATTGATTAAACATCTCAAAAACCTGTAGATTAAGTGCCATTAATTTCATTTTATAAAAGTAAACAGGAAAGAATTTTTTAATTTTATTTATTTCTTTGAGATAAAGTCTAACTTTGTCTCCCTCAATAGAATGCTGTAGCGTTATAGCTCACAGCAACCTCAAACTCTTGGGCTCAGGCAATTCTCTTGTCTCAGCTTCCCAAGTAGCTGGGACCACAGGGCCCACCACAATGCCCAGCTATTTTTTAAGAGACGAGGGTCTCATACTTGTTCAGGCTGATCTTGAACCTGTGAGCTAAGGCAATCCACCCAGCTCAGCCTCCCAGATTGCTAGGATTACAAGCATGAGCCACTATGCCCAGCAGAAAAGTATTTTTTTAAAAAAGAAAAGATATTCCAATTTAAAAGGTTACTGATCTGAAGGTTAATGCTCACTGCTTTTAGTGTTTTAGTGTCTAGAATTTGAGATCAGGCAAAATTGCAAAGGGAGTATTCTCCTTTTTTTTTTTTTTTTTTTTTTGGTCTAGTCACTTTCCTCTTTTTATACTCTGATTTTTGTTTTCCTCAAACACTGATGCCTACATCAGAGTGACTGCTAAACATTTAAACAAATAGGACATTTAGATAAATATAACACTTTCAGGAAGACACAGGAAAGCCATATAAATTAACATGTTATTATTAACATGAATGAGTTTATATCACCTTCCCTTATTTGTGGCATTCTAACTTAGACCCCTCAACATACAGGGCAGTGACATACTGGTAACTGTGATTACAGAACAGATGGGAGGCTCCCTACCTTGAGACTTACCTATCCATCTGGTCTTTCTTGAACATCTATTTATAGGAACTAACTACTCTGCTTTTGACATTTAAGAACTAGTTTCCTATTCAATCATAAATTTGAAGATCACTCAAATAAATCAGTTATTTCTCATGAGGAATTTGCTAAATGCTCCATCTGCAGACATAAATCTTCAGTAGGAAAAGACTAAAAGGTACCTACCATGCTTAAAGACTCCAATAAGCAGGGACTTGTCAGCCTCACTGTCCCACCATGTTGTTGGAACCTCCAGCTGATCCACTACTGGGAACCATATGTCAATCTCACTAAAGGTACAATAGAGGTTATAGTCAGCTCAGCAATGCAGGAAATTAAAGTTAAAATCCTTGAAAAAATGATTACATATACCCTCCACTAATTTAAATGCTCATGAATCTGCCCTATTTCCTTTTACCAGTGTCAAGTATGGGATTAAACACCTTATATACAGATTCAGATTATCAGATATCCCAATGATAGTATAGAATGAAATAAGTACAGTGATCATCCCTGGGAAAGGCAGGGCATTTAAAAAATACATACAGCGGAAGTTTACCTGGCAATGGCACCCCCTAACACTTTCTCTGCCTGGTCTCCGATAACCTCTTGCCTCAGGTAATATAGCATTCGCACCCGTAACAATACCCTAGAAAGGAGGGGAGAAGAGTTGGCTCATGTACAGTGTAGCAAGTTTGAAGTAAAAACGCTTTTGTCTTTGCTAAATTTCATCCTCACTTGTTGCACTGATGTTTCAAGTGCTTCTTATAACTCTCATCTTGGAACAAAGTGTCAGGGTTATATTTCCGGATCCAATCAGCCTTATGGATATCAAAAGTGCTTTGTGATTTTACTTTTTTCCCCTTACGTCCACGGGGCACAGGGATAGACAGACCTGGGAAAGGGGAGACATTGAAGACTTGGATTGAGAAAAACCCTTGGACCTGAAAAGGACTAGATAACCTATAGAAAGATAAAAAAAGTAAAGAGTTGATAATTACCTGAATGATTCTGCAATTCTTTTGTCTTGCCATTTTCAGCAGGGCTAATCAAGTCCCAAATGAAACCTTTGATATTTTCATCCCCCCGGTAGTGCAGAAGACAGTACACAAGGATAGCCCGGCAAATTGTCTCCACATCTCTCTCAGTCATACGTCGCTTGAAGCGGCCATGAGATAAAATATCTCGCCATCGTCCCCAACTGAAGCAAAAGAAAAGGAAACCATATTAATATTTTCTTGGGAATTCTAATTCAATGATATTCTCCTGACCCCCCCCCCACCAGAATCATATCTCATCAAAAACAGTGAGACAAAAGCAACTGCTTGGGAGCCTAAGACAGAGGATTACTTAGTGTTTCAGGTTGCAATGAGCTATGAGGATGCCACTGTACTCTACTGGGGGTAACAGGGCAAGAAGTAAAAAAAGAGGTGAGGCCAGGCACAGTGGCTCATGCCTGTAATCCTAGCACTCTGGGATGCCATGGCCGGTGATTTGCCTGAGCTCACAGACCTCACCTCTAAAAATAGCCGGCCTTTGTGGTGGGTGCCTGTAGTCCAGCTACTTGGGAGGCTCAGGCAAGGGAATCGCATGTTACTGAGGGTGACAAAGTGAGACTCTGTCTCAAAAAAAAAAAAAAAAGGTAAGTGAGATAAAAAGATCTTGAAAACCACAGTAGCAGAATAAACAGAATAAAATTCTCCCAAGGCAAACATTTTTCACATTATCCTTTCTTTGTCACGGTTTCCAATCTGAAAGGCAAATAGGGTATCTAACAAGATGGAGATACATTCCCTCTCATGGTAACACGAGTTCTTACCCATATACCAAGAGGTGCTTTTCTACCCGAAAGCAGTCAGTACGCCCATAGGCATGATGACGGTCATGTCTGCGGGAACGTGGCCGCTCATCATCCTCGCTTTCCAAATCAGAGAATTCCACTAAGTCATCATCTTTCAGGGTGCTGAAGTGGCGGGTCTGTTTTCGTACTCTAGGTGTGTCAATCACCAAGTTATTCTATTCAGAGAATAGAAGAGTAACTTGGGTTATATTTTGCTTATGGGAAAAGAATAAGGTAATTAAGAATTAGAACAGCTATAGATGTAATATATGTAGATATCCAAAGAGAAATTTTTTTTATAATATGTATAATAATCTACAGGGATTCAGGAAGCAGAATAAAGTAGGAGATCATGTAGGTATTTTTCTGGGGCCTCC